AAATGTAGAACAGTAGAATAGTATATTAGTATAAATATAATATATATTATATATATATATATATATATGTACCTGCATAACAGTTTTAAAGTACAATAGAAAATAAATATAGAACAGTAGAATAGTATATTAGTATAAATATAAATATATATATATATGCGAGATAGTCATTTAATTGATTAGACTCAGTAGTAAACATCATAAGATAGGTAAGTAAGTATCCATGATATAATTTGTAAGGTTTATATTTTTATGCACGTTCAATGCCAGTATTAAACCGATAACTTGGTCTCAAAACGATAAATTTCAATGATGTATACTATACCCTTGCACAGAACATAACCAATTACTTATAGATGCGCCAGAATAAAACGGTCTATACAATCCGCTAAGAACCAAGATTTGCGTACTCCAACCCAGATCACTCTTCAAATAAGTATGTAGGCTCTACCACGAGACCTCAGACTTCATTCGTGCAGCTTGTGTACGACTAATTTGTTTATAGTGCATAGTTGAGCATTCCAGTGGTCATAAAACAGGGCAAGCTCCGCAAAGCGGCCCATGTCAACTCAACACTATAGAAGCTATCATTCGATGACAAAGGTCCACTTTTAATACAACCAATTAAGCAACAACGTTCATACAAACAATGCAAAGTTTAGACAGAACACGTAAGGAAATAGAATACTGTCCTGGTACAACACCAGGTTCGTATTATCGTTCTCGTCACCTCAGAACATGTAACTTGAAACTTACCTGGATTTAGATTGTCCCATATAATTTCAGTTTTGCCGACCAGTTTCTCATTCTTTTGCTGGCCATCTTTGGACATGTACACCCACACTTGTGGATCAGACTTTGAAAAGGTGTCCATATCCAGTAAGCTAGTACACTTAAAGAATAAGTCTACTTTAGGCGCCGCTCCGTGACTGAACATGCCTTGCTGGGCTGCACCTTGAGCCATATTGTGTGATAGTAAATATGTGTACTTTGATCACTATACCGATTCAGATGATTTACTGTGTTTCTGGTCGCGAAAAGCTGCACATACGTACAGGATATTGGGAAAATGGGAGCGAGATTGTACAGTTGCGTATAGCTATATGATATTTCACCGGGTTTCCCCCGCTTTTAAAAAGGACCAAAACAGAATTTACTACACAATATAAATATATAAAAACATAATTTTAATTTTAATTTTACACACCGGTCTTTAAAAAAAAATAGTGATGCCTGTCAGACTGTCAGTCATCACTCATCAGTGTTCTCAGAGACTCAGAGTCTCAGACTGTTCCCAGTGTTCTGAGTACTCTGTAGTCAGTACTAAGTACATATTTACTATGTACTGAGTTCTGACAGCAATGACTGATATAAAACTATTATGAAAGAACATTGTGCAATCTCCAGCACCTCGGGACTCATTACGAACACGTTTGATTGGTACACCGAGAAGTACAACGATCTACAGCGATAAGCTGAATCACTCGCAGAAATATGAATATGACATTATGTATCTAATTTAAATGTTTTGTTTTTAAAAAGAAAACAACAAATTGCCCTTGGAACTGTGTAAAGTATGTACAATCTTGATTTGGTTGATTTTAAACAAAAATAACCAAAACTAAAACTTTTGTTTTTTGCTGCTTGTTGTTCAGTGATTCCTCAGTCCTCAGTTCCTCACTCCTCACTCCTCAGTGAAGTCAGTGTTGGTTTTCCCTTTTGTAGTAAAAACAAACATACATGTATTTAATAATAATAAAAATACATAGTTCCTGCCCAGCTGCCTGCTGCGGTGGCAGCCGGTGCTGCCCTCCTTCGGCTTCATCGTCTTTTTATGTTGTTATATATATATAAATATATATATATAAATATATATATAAATATATATATATAAATATATATATAAATATATATATATAAATATATATATAAATATATATATATAAATATATATATAAATATATATATAT